TGACATTTAGAAACATTGATCCCATTGTTGTGTATTGTTAGTTATGCAGCTCCAAGTTGGTCTTTTTCAAGGTCTCTTAATTTCTCGTGAGTACAATGTAGAGCTGTAATTTTTGTAGTCCATCGTAGTGCCCGTCCTTCTTGCAAGGTGTCTTCTCTATTGCCACTTGAGGCGGTTTGATTCTGTGAATGACAGTACTATTACCTAGGTAATAGTACAAAGCGTTTTCTCTTAAGCCTATTATGCTCTTTTTGAGTCGCATCTTTGTTATGCTGCGCGCCAAAATTTGATCGTATTTTCAAACTTCAAAAGAGAGCAGTTCGATATTTATTGGGACTGAACAGTAGAACTCACTGCCAAAATTTCTTTAAAATTTTCAAAATACTGATTGTTCCTTCTTTATTTATATTTGAATCCGTTTGCTTAATCCGCAAGCACATATCTGCTATTCCTGAAAGGCCACCTCGCAATTATCCACTTAGGAACGCGGCGCACGATCTTTATCTGCCAACCCCGAGCTCAGATTAAACGCTCAATACTGTACAATGCCAAAAAAATGTACAATCATCTGCCTTTGGATATTAAGTCGCTTTGATTCTTTCCCGCCTTTCGCAAAGCCCTGAAATGATACTTACTGGAGAGAGCCCTATATGCGGTAAAGGATTTTTTTGTTGTTCTTCAATCATGAACAATTTTGAAGTTTAAAATTTTGATCATATTACACACTGGTTAAAAGTCTAGTGTTTAATATTTTATAATAACTCTTAAATGAGTATAACCATTTACAATTTTCCAATTGTAATTTTTTTCTTTTTTGTTCATATATGCGTTTTTTGTAATTTTAATGACATAATTTTTTTTTAATTGTATGATGCTTGGTTAGATCTTTTATTATTTGTATGTTTTTTGTGCTTTTGTTTGTCTTTTAAATGCTTTGTCGATGAAGCTATTCTGGCTTTTTGTACAATAAAGCGTTATTTATTATTAGTTTTTTTTTTATCCACTTTATTTTCGAGCATTGTGTGACCTACAGTTTCTTTATGATGCTGATTTTAAGTGTCCAGGTTTCGCATGCATAGGTTATGTATACCGTGCGGGCAACTGTTAATTTTGGGTCGGCATTTACATGTCTGGAAGTAAATCGCAAAGGGATCGTATTAAGTCGGAGTGAGAGAAATGCGACGGTGTGCTGTTGCGGCGTTGCCGATACGCCTTTCCCTATCAAGTAAAGTAAAATCACGATCTCAAACCGCTTATTTTTAAAAGTCTTTTTTTACAAGAGATAACTAGATAAAATCCTCGATAAAATCATTAGACATATTTCTGAGCTGTTATCATCATTAGACATATTTCTGAAGGTTGTTTCTTCCATTCAAAAATTGTAAACAATCCATCCATTTACTTTTAGAGTACAGCAATTTTCAGCAATCGTGTAATTTTTTTATTGATAAAGATTTTCACATACTGTCTACAAAGAAAATACAGCAGAAATATTAACAAAGTTCTTGAAAAAACTACAATCTATTATTTCTAATAGATTTCGAGATATCGATTTTTGAATTCAGAGTTCTAATAGCGCGACCACTATCGAACACCCACTCAATTCCACTTAGTTTTACCAAAAATGCAAGTGTTTCTAGCTTACACTTAAAAAAATTCAAGCTATAGGGAAAATTACAACGACTCGTTGAGAAATAAACAAATTAAGTATCACGAGACGTAATTAAATCGTGAAGCTGAACGCATGACGTACTTTCCCTAGAACTTTAAGTACTGACAGAGGTATTGATTGGGTCGACCGGTTAACTGCGACAAATCTGATGTATCCCCTTCCACGTCTCTTAGTGATGTGCACAGTTTCTCGGTTTATTTCATACGTTTGGCAACGTGTTTACTGTCCTCTCTTTGTTCAGTACATTATAAACGCATTGTACTCTTCTTACATAAGGAAATCTCGACCCAAGACTTACCTTTGCCAGCCCTTAGTATACTGGTAGTACACATTGATCGAATGTTTTCTTCTTTAGATAAAGTGGCATTTTCTTTTCTGTCTCGATGTTCATGTCTTTAGTTTTTACTACGTTAATTTTGAGATCAAATTTATTATTGCTTATATTTAGTTGTGCCTGTAAAGTAGCTCTTCAGGACTATTGGCACCACCATAAGTCATCAAAATATTAGAGCACGTACATAATACAAACAATCTCTGCTATATATTATTTCTTCAAGCACTCTTGCTACTTGAAAAATATCTTAGATATTACCGGACATCTTTTTGGACTTACTAAATATACTACAAGATGTGTCGTCAATGCAATTCTAACACCAGATGATATATAAAAGAGGTATGATTTAAGAGGTCAGTCATCATAACTGATTCTAAATCTTTTGGGAAGAGAATATTTGTTGTGTTGGCGTAATTTTTTTCATTTATTTTATTTCAACTAATCTCTTCTTCTTCAAGTGTCATGTTCACTCTCGATCTTGCGCTAGATAGAGTAATTCATCCGCGCTCAAGCTTGTTCATTGCCGCAAGTTCTTCAACCACGAAAGCCTCTTGCGCCCAATCCACTTTTTTCCTTCGATTTTTCCGTTAAGGATCAGTCGGAGAAACTCATATCGAGGTCCTCTGGTTATATGGCCAAGGTATTCAAGTTTTTGTCGCTTGATAAAATTCAGAAGTAGTCTGTCGTGCTTTATTCTTCGAAGAACTTCTTCATTTCTGGTTCTGGTGGTCCAAAACATTTTAAGCATTCTTCTGTATGTCCATATTTCAAATGCTTCGATTTTATTCATCGTTTTTTTTTTTATTAAGTGTCAACGCCTCACATCCATACAAAAGAATCGACCACACATAACACTTTGTAAACTTCTCCCGTATTTTGATGTTTAGTGAACTATTTGAGAGCAGTGACTTAAACTTTTGACTTCAACTAACAAAAAACTTAAAATTAAACTAATTGCTAGTTATAAAGCTCAGCTCACCAAACAAACACGAACCGGTTTTTATTTAAAAATTTAAATTTGCCCACTATTAACTTGTCGTCAGTCGTCTGTTCCATACTAGCCAACTATTTGCGTTCAAAACTTAAACGACTAAGTTGACAAATTGCCTTGCTGTCACCGAGATTAAAAACGATTTCTCTAGTTAATCAGTAAGTTTGAAAGTAATTGCAGTATTAGAGCCGAGGTCGCCGGACCCCGCTAGTTTTCAAATAACAATATACCGCTGATGTTGGTAAGGTATAATTTGTGGAACGGTTTTGAGTTATTGAAAGGTTGCATGATGACGTGAAAGAACAGGGTTTCGCTGTTTTTAGTTTGTTAAAAAATGCGATTAGTTGCGCGTGGTTGCGATACGAAGTCTCATGTAACTGACTTAAAATAATATATAATATAGAATAAATGATCTTGCTGAAAAGGAATGGGTTTCAAGTAAAGGCGGATTTTCATGCAGCCATAATCTGTATAATTTTTGATTAACGATATTTTTATAAAAATATTGGAACAGATCAACTGTAGTAAATATTGAGCATTGTTTTAATTTTATGATGACTATTAGAATTTTCTTTCCTGGGAGCTGCAAAAATTGATGGTTAAAGACTAAATACTTTAATACGCGAATTTTAACTAATAACCGTGCTCTGGGTCTACAGTAAATTTTTCCTCGATTTTTCCTCCACTTGACTTCAAAAGACAAAAAACAAACGTAATAACACGAATCAAAATGCATCATTTTCCAAAACGCCGGGCATTTGACATAAGTTGACACAAAATTATAACCTTTAATTTGGCAAGACTTTGACAAGCCCCAAAAATCTAAAGGCGAGTTCATACGGATCGGCGTCCGTTTGTCGTTCATCGTTCCGTCAAACCAATAAAATTGAAATATGATCTGTCATTTTTGAAATAAACCAATAAAACTAGTTAAAAAGAACAAGAGACGACGCATGACGGATACATATTTAAACCCATCCATAGTTAACTTAAAAAATATTAGAAACTTTTTTTAGTAAAATAAATAGATTGGTATGGGACGTCATCTGCTTTTCTTGTGTCATCGTCTGTCGAAATCTTACCTGAGAAAAAAAAAACAGAGTATAGTCTGTCAGGCACACCGATCTAAATATTCCTCTATATTTCGTAAATGCCTGCAATTGTAGAAATAAGGATGCATCTACCTTAAAATCAATAGGTGTTCGATAAGTTAAGAAAGCGATAAACTCATGAGTGTACGGAGTACTGATTTATTGAATACAGAAATTTGAGAGTTGTTTTACCGGACTCCTGTGTAGCGATTGTGTAAGTTTTTTTAATATATTTTGGATTTAAGAATTCTATTGTTTGTTTTATTATAGGCATATATTAAATTGAGTTATATACATATATTAGAAAATTGTATTGATGGCCAATGATTTTTTTTCAGATGGTTGACGTTAGCACCGTAAATGGATTATATGTTTAACCGTAATGTTTATTATAAGAACATATTCAGGTCGACGTATACGCGAACGATTCCCTTGAATCTACATCAAATTGGTTTACTAGAATTATATTTTACATGATTTTTCCCAATTTGATGTAAACCCAAGTTGGCCTATATGTAAGTCTTGACAATATTATACACCAAAGCTATATAAATGCCTTCAAAATGGGATGTATATGTTACGGTTATGGTGCGATGTCCGGTTAATGTAGAGAATAACATACACAACAAAACAACCAAAAACATAACCTAACCCAAACATTAATATGTTAATGTCGACATTAACCGGACATCGGACTTTAACGGGTAGCGGGTAGGCACTTCTTCACGATCCCGGTGGAGGATAGGTTTACTTCAGGAATGCGCCCCTGCCCACGCAAGCCATGATTTCCTCTACCTCCTTTACTTTAGGGGGAATCATGTCCCAAACCCAATTATCCTACCTTATCCCCCTATCCTCTACCAACCCGCAGGGCTAGCGTGGTAGAGTATTCTCGCCAATTCCCCCTTAACTATGGAAACGTCTTTCAAGATACGGCCCTCAGTCTCCGGCAGCTCAAACTCCCTCGACTATGGTAGCGGCCGAGTAAGGAAAAGAGCAGAGGGTGCTAAGAATCCCCGGAGTGGACCAGGCTACCTTAATAGACGAAAACTGCATATTGCCACTTCTAACGTTCAAACCCTGTCAAGGGATGAGAAATTATTGGAATTGGAGGAAGAATTACAACATATAAAATGGGATGTTGTGGGTCTAAGTGAGGTAAGAAGAAAGACCGAAAAACAAATAGAATTGAAATCTGGGAACCTTCTTTATCATCAGGGAAATAACGAATATGCTCTGGGCGGTGTAGGCTTTCTGATTAACAAGAAACATATTAAGAACATCGTAGACATTGGAAGCATCAGTCCTAGAGTCATATACCTAACCCTTCGTTTGAATAACCGTTACTCTCTAAAAATTGTACAAGTCTCTGCCCCAGCGTCAAATAGCACCGAGGAAGAAATAGATATTTTTTATGAGGACGCCTCCAAAGCTCTATCAATCAAATCCCAATTTACAATATTAATGGGTGATTTTAATGCTAAAGCTGGACAAAAAGAAGATGAAGCAGAAATATGCGTGGGTACATATGGTTATGGTGAAAGAAATGAGAGAGGAGCGAAAATGATCGAATTCACGCTGCAAAATGGACTATATGTAATGAACACCTTCTTTAAGATCCAAATCGAAAATGGACCTGGGCAAGTCCGGACGGAATTACCAAGAACGAGATAGATTTCATCATGACTGATAAAAAATGGATAATTAGAGATGTACAAGTATTGGGCGAATTCTCCATAGGAAGTGACCACCGAACAGTTCGAACTAGAATTGAATTTATCCTTAAATCTGAACGACGAAAAATGATAAGGAAGAGGACCATGAGAAAATGGGTAACACCAGAAAAGCCAGAAGAATATAGAGCAATGGCAGCTGAAAATTTAGGAAATCTGGAAAGAATGGAAAATATGGAAATTGAAGAATAAATAATCACATTGTAACTATTTTAACGCAAGCTATTAAAGAAAATTGTCCTAAAAAGGATAATCAGGGAAACACAAGACTAATCCAAAACACTAAAGATCTGATAAAGCAACGTAGAGTTATGATAAACAAACACTCAGATGATTATAGGAAACTTAACAAGAAGATATCAAAAGAGATAAGGAAAGACATCAGAACCCACAATACCAACAAAATAACGCAACTCATTGAGAGAAATCAAGGATTAAAAGTTTTCCAAAAAGAGGCAAGCATAGGGAGAGCACTAATTCATAAATTCAGAAGGACAGATAACATCAAATAGAGCAGATATTCTGCGTGTTACAGAAATTTCTACCAGCAGTTATAAGGATAACCCAAACCCTAGAAACTCGTATAGTACCATACCAACTGTGATGAATCAAGGCTCAGAAGAAATCCCAGATATTACTTTAGATGAAATATCGGCGGCATTAAACTTTATGAAAAATAATAGGTCTCCCGGTGACGACAATATAGCTATTGAAGCCATTAAAGAAGGAGGAGAAAAGGTTCTCAAGGCTTTGCAAATATTATTCAACAAATGTCTTGTCGAAGGAAGAACGCCATCAGAATGGGATAATGCCAATATAATCCTATTACATAAAAAAGGGGACAAAACAAACCTTACCAACTATCGGCCTATTAGTTTACTGAGCCACACATACAAATTATTCACAAAAATCCTCACAAATCGTCTCTCCCTAAAACTAGAACAATATCAACCAAGAGAACAGGCTGGATTTAGATCGAACTTCGGTACAAATGACCATCTGTTGGTGGTGAAGTCCCTAATAGAAAAATGTGTTGAGTATAATAAACCCCTCATTTTAATATTTGTCGACTACGAAAAGGCATTCGACTCTATCGATCAACACAAATTATTCAAGGCCCTAGCCGAATGTCGTATAGACACCCGTTATACTAACCTTTTAAAATATATATACGACCATGCAACAGCATCTGTATCGCTACACGAAAACACAAATAAATTCCGTATTAAAAGAGGAGTACGGCAAGGCGATACAATTTCCCCCAAATTGTTCATAGCACTATTAGAATATATGTTCAAAAGACTAAACTGGGAGGAAATGGGCATTAATGTTAACGGGGAAATGCTCAATAACCTGCGTTTTGCTGATGACTTGGTGCTGATTACAGACAAAATACACGAAGCTCAAAATATGCTAAAAACACTTAAACGGGCGTCAGATCAAATTGGACTACGCATAAATTATTCAAAAACCAAACTAATGACTAATCTTGTTATTAGTGGAAATGTCTCGGTAGACGGAGCAAATATAGAACAAGTATATTCATATAAATATCTGGGGCACGAAATAACAATTGGCCGCGATAACCAGACGCACGAGATACAAAGAAGAGTAGGACTAACATGGGCAGCATTCGGCAAACTAAGATATGTGTTAAAATCAGATCTACCAATGTGCTTAAAGAGGAAGGTGTTCCATCAGTGCGTTATGCCAGTACTTACATATGGCGCAGAGACACTTACACTGACGAAAAAGTCCATAGAAAAAATCCGTGTAGCCCAACGAGCTATGGAAAGAGCAATGCTTGGTGTATCTCTAAGAGACAAGATACCCAGTACAGTTATAAAACAGCGTACACGAATAACAGATGCTATATATCTGCTTAAAAAACTCAAATGGAACTGGGCTGGGCAATTGCCAGAAGAACGGATGATAGATGGACCAAGCTAATACTAGAATGGCGGCCAAGACAAGATGCTCTCAGAAACAGAGGCAGACCTCCGACAAGATGGTCAGATGACTTGAAGAGATTTAGGGGAAACTGGATCCAAGTGGCACAGGACCGAGAAGAGTGGAAGGATTTGAGGGAGGCCTACGTCCAGCAGTGGACACTTCAGGCTGGTTGGTGATGATGATGATGGACTTTAACAGTAACATATATATTTTAGGTAATTTTTAAATAACATTTGATTGCCCATTCATAATTTGTTTCTATTACGTGTATACAGAGTGTTTAAAAAAAAAAACATGTCCCATCTCTCGTGGGGAGATTCCTAACGTAAAAATAAGATTTATTTTTCATATTAACATAGGTCCGATTCTGCTTCGTTTCGTAGCTACAGGGTGTTATTATCTTAATAATATTTGGATTTATTATAATTTTCTTGCAAGTACTTTTAGTGATTCGAATGAAATTTTTAGGGTATAAGTTACTATAAAAGTTACTAAAAAAAAGTCAGTGGCGTACAAGCTTTCTTTAGAAAAATATTCCAGTAATAACCCATATGCACGTCCCTGGTAAATATGTGGACACTTTTTTAGCTTTAAAATATGTCCCATTTATAGTAACTTTTACCCTCAAAATTTCAATGGAAACGCTAAAAGTACGTGGAAGAAAATTATAATAAATCGAAAAAATATTAAGAATTTATCACCTTCTAGCTACAACACAAAGCAGAATTGGACCTATGTTAATATGAAAAATAAATCTTATTTTTACGTGAGGAATCTCTCCATGAGAGATGGCACATGTTTTTTGAAACACCCTGTTTGTTTATGATTAACTCATGTAAAATCATAAATGTATAGGGAGATACAAAAATATCTTAGTTTCTATTTTTTAAATTATGTAATTTAATAGAGGTGTCTACGAGACCAATCTATAGCGGTGAAAGGAAAATTATTCAGTGTAGCCGTTGAGAGTTTTAATTATTAAATTATTAGCTAACATGGCTCTAAATTCGTACCACCCAAAAGTGGCTCTTTCTTTTTCTTTTCCTTTTTCTTTTCAAGCGGCAGAAAAATCAGACATTTTTCAAGATGTGTCTGTAATACATATTAATTTTAAATTTAATTTAGAGTTTTACTTTATTTTACAATGTTCTAATATATTAATTTAAACATATCTGTTGTTAGCTATTAGACATATAGATTAAATGTCAGGACAAATTTAAGAGAATGTCGACTTAAAAGCCGAACACAATTTGCTTCTCCTCGCAATCTGAAAAATTCAATTTCCTTTTAACATGCTCCGCTCGGTTTTCGCTACTTAATGTTTAATAAAGGCCATTCAATAAATTCGAGACGCGGCCATAAGGGTGCATACTCTATAATGATGGGGAAACGCAAGACGGCAATTTTTCCCCTCCGCTTTACAGCTTGCTTTCACGCTACGCTATGTTAATTTTGACGCCACTAACTCCAGAATGGTGTTGTTCCCGTTTGTCATTATGGAACAGCGTTGTCAAATCATTTTTATTTTGCTTTGAGTGTCTTTGTGAAGCGTTGAATGTCTTTGTGTAACCGAGAGCCTTTAGCGCTGCTCTGCTGTCTGTAAAGATGACCACTGACCGGTGTGTTGTTTGTTACCCACTTATTTCTCCTACACAATAATGGATTGCCGTTGGAAAATTGTGACTTACTAAAGCCGGGTCCAGATCAAGCAAACAAAACAACGACAGGATAGAAACATTCATGTTTTGCAACAAAATTGCTACAAATCCAATACATTTCTGCGACATTTTTGTCTCATTTTTGTTTTGTTTCAAAATTCGGAGACTTTTCAATGTCCCGTCTCGAGTCGGTAAAGATTACTTAATATAATTAATTATATATTAATATTTCTGAAAATTATACATCAGAGAATTTACAAAAAATGTGAAAGGGACATAACCGATTCACAAATGGGGTTCAGGCAAGGGTTAGGTACAAGGGAAGCGATAGTTGTAACACAGGTGCTTATCCAGAACTGCTACGATCAGAGAAAGGATGTGTGCCTGTGTTTCATAGACTACGAAAAGGCATTCGATCGCGTACAGCACCACAAATTAATGAAGCTCATGAAAAGAGTTGATATAGATCATAAAGACATCCAATGCATTGAGAAGTTATACTGGAACCAAACAGCACAAATAAAATTGGCCAATACCATGTATAATCTATACACACTATACAAGTAAGGAGAGGGGTGCGACAGGGTTGCGTGCTATCTCCACTTCTATTCAATTTGTAGTGAGAAGCTATTTTCCAAGAGACTCTAGAGAACGTGGAAATGGGAGCTAAAGTTAACGGAGAGTGGATTAATAACATCCGCTACGCCGACGATACGGTCTTGATTGCAAATAATATGCACGATCTACAACAACTGGTCAATAAGGTAGGAGAACAGAGTAAAGCAATAGGTTTAAACATGAACATCAAGAAACCCAAATTTATGATGATATCCAGAAATCCAGATATGTTTAAAAACTCCATTATAACATTTAATACAAGGCCCATAGAAGGGTAGATAAATTTAAGTACTTGGGCTTAAATCTGGCTCTCCGAAGATTGGACATCAGACAAGGTAATTAAATGTCGCATCGAACAAGCTCGGCAGGTATTCCTGAAATTTCGAAAAGTACTTGTCTGTTCTGATTTTGACCTTAACCTCAGATTAAGATTCGGAAAGTGTTACGTGTGGTCGGTGCTCCTTTATGGTATGGAATGTGGAACATTAAAAGCAGCTGCCATTAATAAACTAGAGGCTTTCGAGATGTGGCTATATCGCAGAATTCTGAAGATATCTTGGACGGCTAGGTTAACAAACGAAGAAGTTCTGAAACGTGTTAACAAACAGTGCCTGTAACAATTGTTTGAATTGATTAAGAAGAAAAAAATCGCATACCTGGGGCGCATAATGCGAAACCCCAATTATCAATTATTGCATATGTTAATCGAAGGCAAGATCGAAGGCCGGAGGGGTATCGGAAGGAAAAAATTGACTTGGCTGAGGAATGTTAGACAGTGTACAGACCTACACGATGTACAGTCGTTAATAAACACCGCCAGGAACAGAGAAGCGATGAAAAATGTTATGGCCAACATACATTAATGGATATGCACTAGAAGAAGAAGAATCAAGAGAGACCGTAAAAGAATAGAGTGGATACGACAAAAGACCCAGGTAATTGATGTCATCCACAGAGTCAAATCCCTTAAATGGCAATGGGCAGGACACCTGGCAAGAAGAACGGACAACAGATGGACCACAAAAATTACAGCATAGTACCCACGAGGAATTAAGAGACCTATGGGAAGAGATGGGACCATGGTATTAGGAAATTAGCAGGGATAACTTGGGCCCGCATAGCCAACAATAGACAACAATGTGCCCAACTATAATAGAGTATGTGAGGGAGGCTACACCATAATTGGAAATGGTTGAATAAGCTGAACATGATGATGATAATAATGATATAAATTTCCTCAATACATCATTCTCTGATGTTCTTCGTTTAAATGTCTTGCACTAGTATCGAAGCTCAGAAGTTTTAGGATATTAGGTTAGACTTGATAACGGTTAGTGATGCATCTGATCAAAACCTTGTTTGAAACAATGAAAGTGTAAAATTTCTTTACTGTCACTACTCTTAATCGTTTTCAAGTTATTTAAGATACCTAATATATGTATTTAAGAATATTAATATCATATTTTTCAATGTAACATTTAACGTTAAGAAACACATTTTATGTTGCTAGTATTGTATATATTCTAGTTTTAATATTAGCCATCGGCATCATTACATTAGTACTTTAAATTTAAAATAATATTCTCTAAGTGGCTCTATTTAGATCATCGTATATTTGCTTACGTTTTGGTAAACAGTTTGATTTGTTTACATAGACATAGAAACCATTTACATTTCATTTACATATGTTGGGTGGCATAATTGACTGAATAAGGACGTAAACATCACCAGCAATATACTAAAATTACTGTATAATGTTAGTATCATACATTATATATTCCAAATGGTAACACATTAGGAATACGGGGTAATATTAAATCACACCCATATACTGTACTGTAAAAATTGACAGAAAACTTAATAATAGTTATAGAAAGATTAAAAAGTATAGAACCTTTCTAGACATACAAATCAATTTCCAAACAGTTATTTTTTTTCGAATTTTAAACTACACAATTTAAAAATAATTTTACTCAATGACGTTTTTAGGGCTTAATCTCGCACATAATTATCATCAATTGTCATTGCCAGCCGTCTATTACGCCGTTTTTTTTCTCGATTGTATGGTATTCCTACCATGTATTTTTAGATTTATATATTACTTATTTTATTATTTGAAATAATTGTTATTAGTTTTTATGTTTATGGTTATTGTTTTATTTTATAGTGTTTATTTCAAAATGAGGGACCACAAAATTATTCTGAAATAAAGGACTGGTGATTGGTGAAGTTGGTTCTGTATCGTTTGACTGATATATTATCCTCTAACTTTAGATGTATATGATAACGCAAGGGATAAGTGGATTAGGACTTGACCAACTGGGTCACAGTTTACGTATTATTTAACTTAATGAGTTTGAAAACAAATATGTTTGAACTGTGGGGATTTGTTTACTAAACTCATTAAATTTATATGGATTTTAATTTATAATATGATTTTATTTTATTTAAATGAAATTACAGGGTAGGTAATATAGAGTTTATTACACTTTTAGAAAGATCATAACAAGGCAAATAATGATGGTCTCCCATTTGAAAAAACATAAGTTGAACAAGTGCATAGCCAGGATTTCCTCCAGGGTGGCGAAAAAGTTCTTCCAGGATGGGGCAAAACCTTCTCTAGAGTGAGGCAAAAACAAAAGTAACACCAAAAAGCGTAATACTCTTGTTTATATATTCTTAACAAGGATAATAAAAAGTACAGATTAAAAAATGGTTTTATTCGAACACTTCATAATAGAGTTATTGCGGAATGTATTTTGCCAGTATGTAGTTTTGCGTTGGCTTAATTCAATAAATATATACACACTTTTTTCTTGAGGTATGGGGGAACTGTCACATCTGCTCATGGGCGTAGCTCTATCGTAACTACCCCCATGAGTTTGAGTCATATTTTGAATATGACAACTCCCAAATGAAAACTAGTTTTCTTTTTTTCGATAAGTTAAAAAATAACCAGGTGCCAGGTGGCGTAGAGGTACAAGCTCTCGTCTACCAATCTCAAGGTTATGGGTTCGAATCCTACACCCGGCATTTCATCAACCGACTATTTTAATTAAAATAAAGATAGTTTGGGTACCTAGGTCGGCTCAGCCTTAAATGAGTACTTGGGATTCATAATCCTGAGGTAATAATAGGCTGTTGAAGCGTAGTGCTAGCCACATTACCTTTCTTGTATACCGAACGGCTCTAGCATGGCAAGCTGTACCTTGCTACTCCCAAGGCGTTAAACGCTATATACGGGAGCTATTATTATTATTATAAAAGATAACCGAGATACGGAGGTGTTAAAAAATGCAACATTTTTAAATTCACCTTCAGCTAAGACAAATCTGGTTTTATAAAAAAGTGGTGTGAAAACCGCATCTTTGTAGCTCTACTCAGAAACGAGAGATCCTGTAAAACACACGAAAATGGGACAGCCTGTGTCCAGGGTCAAATAAATCTAAAAAGTATAATATACTGATTTCAAAAATAATACTCATTATTTAAGAGATATCGCCTGGGGCTTTTCCAGCCCCATCTACATTCCGAGTTCCAGCCCCCCAGCTCACATGGGGTCCGAGTTACGACGCTCTGTTGTAACCTCCGATCGTTACCACTTTTCCTCTCGCGTCTCGCGTCTCGTGTGTCAAGGCCTTCAATTTTTACCCCCATCGCGCGTAAAGAAGTTTCACTTCTATAAAACAGAGCTTTTAAAATATTCTATTTTTTTTCAAATTGGAAACAGAGCTAACGAAAGAAAGTTCCGAAAAATAAAGATCTAGACGCGCCACTGGAACGCCCCGATGACGCATCCCCCAGAGGCATTCCTGCTATCCAGACATCTCGTGCCCGAATCCCGCAGGTCGTCGCCGAACCTGGGGAGGACGTGCAGTGCGTGTGACTTTGGGGCCTACCGCACCACCGACCGGATTGTAAATCAATTAGAGCGGGAAAAACACGCTACGCACGGAAAGTTTACAGAGAGAAGAAGGAATAATATCCCAAGGTTTTGGAGGAAGTTGATTATTGTTGTTTACTGAATATGATCTACAGGGTAGTCCGAACTGTATTCCGGAAACTTCGGCAGCATATTCTGCAGATAAAAATAAGTAAAAAGTTCGTATAAATGTATGTCCTAAAATGCTCCGTTTCGTAGATACAGGGTGTTGAAGTTTCATTTTTATTTCGATTTTTTCCAAATAATTTATAAAGTAACATCAATATTTGCATGAAAATTGGTGCCAGGGAGTTTTTTGACATGAGAAATTTGATTTTGATGTCAATATGACTCCTACTTGTAGAGGGCGCCACACACATATTTTAAGCGGTTTGAAGACTAATAACTTTTCGTCCGTTTTTGTATAAAACTACTGAGTCAAAAACTATACATTTACGACGGTTTTTACGTACAAAAGCTTTCTTGGTAAAAATCGATACGAGTAATGGTTCTCGAGATATTTGGAGAGAGAATCTAAATTCATCTGACATTCAAATCATTGACATTAATTAAACATGTTGACTAAATATTTATTAGACTGAAATCATAACTTCGAAATGTTTTGTACCAAAAATTCAACAGAAACTGTGTCATCGTCATTTTTTTGAAGAAAAATCTATGATTAATTTAAAAAAAGTTCCCAAATTTACAATTTCAGTCAAATAACTATCTAAATATCTTGAGAACAGTTGCTCGTAGCGTTTTTTACCAAAAGACTTTTTTTACGTAAAAAACGTCTTAAATGTATATTTTTTTGCTCAGTATGTACTCAGTTTTTCATTCGGTATACATAATACATAATACAGGCACGAACGAAAAGTTATTATCATATTGACATTAAAATCAAATTTCTCATATAAAATTTTTTATCCAAATATTGACGTTACTTCAGAAATTAATTGGAAAAAATCTAAATAAAAATGAAACTTCTACACCCTGTATCTGCGAAACGAAGCGTTTTAGGACATCCATTTATACGAACTTTTTTACTTATTTTATCTGCAGAATATGCTGCCAAAGTTTTCCGAATACAGTTCGGACTACCCTGTATATTTGCTTTTTCTTGTACAATGGGTAAAAGGTTCTTTCAATTTTAATAACTTTCAAAAAATTCTGAACTCTAAAATAAATCATATTAGTAGAATTTGATAGCATATATAATATTATAATCTATAAGTTTTATAAAAAAATAAACAAAACCTATTACTCTTTAAGTAATTTAGCAAAATATATACACACTTTGATAACATAGAAATTAATATGTCCTTTTTAATACTTGAAGAATGTAAAAATTAACTGACCTTTGATTGATTTAGATAAGTAATAAAAGAATATATGATAATTTAACGTTTTTAATAATGTATTAATATAATAATTAGCGCATTAGTTATCAAATAATGTAACAAATTATAAAAAAAAACTTCATTAAACGCAACAAAAGGTTTCTATAATTGGAAAACAATTCGAAATAATCATTCTTGTTACAAAATCGGTATACTTAAGTAATTTAACAAATAAAAAAACAAAATATAAGTGTTTAATTAATTTGAAAACAGTAAACAATAATTTCAACAGAGTTTTTTTGATTAACAAAAAGAATACATATCTATATCGTTTCTAATAAAAGATATAAAAAATCAGTTAATCTTTAAGCAGGTCATTAAATAAATTAAAAAAAACTTCATTGAATGAAATAAAAGCAACCTCGTTGAGTTTCCGTTTTCATTGACAATAAAGTTCTAGTTTCGCTTCAACTTAAGTCAGTATTGATAAAATATAATGTCTCACGTTTCTTCAATTCCAGGCGGGTTGCGCGCAGGACTAAACGTAATAATCAGAGGACAGGTTCCAGCAGACACAGACGATAGGTAAGTATTACGAGTAAAATAATAAAGCTATATTTAACACGTCTTCACCTGAATGTATCTATGTAGTAGTAATGAGCATTACGATTCTTTTACGTAAAACCAATTGTTTTGTGTGGTTTCGAACCACACAATTCAATTTATTATATTGAATAGACTATTCCCGTAAATAAGTTTTTTTGCAGATATCTTTCTTATGCCTTGCATTTCATGCCCATGATGTCCATTCAGTGCGTCTTCATTATGTAGAGTGGTCAGAATTAAAATGGATCAAGTCCAATTTCCTACTATTTTAAGATAATCGTCTTTATACTTTGCTAAAATATTATTTTTACCAGTAGATAGATGAATCACTTCACACATTAAGCAGCTCTAGCCAGTTTCTGTTTGGAAATGAACTGGATCAAGTCCACAAAATTTTAGAGAACATTTTTTTTTCCTTATAAAATCGATGATAATGAAACAAAGTTTGAACCATTTGCACCAAGTGAATCAGATTATCAGCCATCTGAAAGGTCTGATTGTATCGATTCTGAAAGTATAATTTTTGGTTTATAACTATTTTCACTATTACTACATCCATAAGTTAGGCTGTTTTTCTTTTCAAATTGTTAGATATCTGACATGTTGATTTGAATACAACTGCACGGGGAAAAAGGCAACACATGAAAGATCTTCTTCCTTTTATCCCGCCTATATATCATAATTTTTATAAACATCGGAGAAAACACTATTAATAGACAATGTGAAGCCAACAAATCCCTTAATGACGAAGAAGAATGTACCGATAAACCAACTTATATCTAAAACTTTAAATATTTTCATCAGATAAAATGATTCAAATTCAAAAAAGTATAACAAACATTCTTAAAAATTATCACAGTTATGTTTTCAGTTACTTTAGTTTGCAATTATACTTGTTTAGTTACTTTAATTTGCAATATATTATTATAATTAAAATATAATAAAGCATTGTGTGAAGTTTTCTTCTCCAGCTTGTTTTATTTTAATTAAGTAACATTAAAAAACTTTAACTCTCATTTTCCCCATAATTAACTTCTAGGACTTGATCCAGTTTATTTCTGACTTCATAATTATGAAGGCGGTGTTAATTTATAATTTATATCATTATTGCCAATTTAAAGTATATTACTAAATATGTTATGGAATTGTATTTTTAATTTGTCTAAATCAATAGTAAAATAGCCAGTTGTTTTTAAGTAAAATATTAATATGTTAAACATGCTCATTATTATTTTAGGTTCATAATTGATTTCCAAACAGGAGATGAAACTGGGGATGAGGCAGCCCAAAACATTGCATTTCATTCTTCACTATACGTGAATTCAGGTAAAAAAACGTTCTTGAATACAGAAACTATTTGGGTTACATTAAAATTCCGTTACAGGACTTATTGTGAGAAATAGTAAAATAGATGGATCCTGGGGAACTAGCGATGATAGTTATATCTTAAATGTTAAAGCAGGACAACAATTTCTGATAAATATTTTTGTCAAATCCGACGTATATTCTGTAAGTACTGCTTGTACCTAAGTGTAATTGGTTTATTTTTTCTACTTTATTTAATTATATCTAAATACAAAACAAATCTAACACAATTCCCATTATATGTGCAGGGTGTGCCACTAAAAATAGCTCACGGCTGTAACTTCGAAAGTTTTAGCCGTAGAGCCTGCAAAAAATTATATACCAGGTGGTGCATCGGTATTGAAAAATTGGCTCCCATGTTAATTTTACAGCAAAGTCGTAAATAGATTTTTTTAAAGGTCAGCGTATGCTGAATGTACATGCCAAATTTAAACGATTTTGGATAAGCCCATTTAAGTGATTTAACAAAAACTGCATCTATTTTGAAATTAAAACTGAACAAGTACCTAACAGCGCAAAACCAGTGAAATGTCAACATATCTTAAGTTGTCAACCTGTTATATTATCATTGTCAAATGAAATTTGTTATGTTTTCGACACTATACTACGTTATAGTACCTACGCTGAGCAGTGGCGGCTTAACCGTAAGGTCAAATGGTCAATGCCCCGCAAAAAAATCAGAAGAAAATTAGAAAAAAACTTATTTAAATTATACTTTTTGAAAATTACCACTTTTTCATCCTAAAATATTCAAAACTATTTCCAAAAATCTTCAATTTGTCCAATTTTTGCTTGAAAACGATTTATTTTACCCATTTTCTCTACTGCTTGTCAAAATTTCATTTTGTCCTTCTCGTGCTATGTTTTGCACGTATTAAACTCCAAATACCACGGCTCGTGACGCCAACGAGGTAAGGTATAGACGTATATAAAATATAATGGGTTAAGGTGCGACAGATATAGTTTATATTGGCCATTGACCGCGTCATTCATAAAAGGGTTTCAGTCATATAGCTGTAAAAATTTCACTGTTTGGACAGTTTGGGTGTTTATAAAAACTCAAATTATAAAACAACCAGGTTTTTGTATCGTTTATCGCGTATAATGTTTGGTTTAATCAATATAAAGCAATATTTAAATTTTTAATATGGAAAAAATTCCCATCTAGTTTTAGTTGTCGTAGCCAGTGTTTGAGGTGTTGTGCGAAATTTGTGTGGGTAATAATTCATTATTTTCTGGTTATGGAATGGTTAAAAGATGAACTGTGGTTGACTGATTCTGGAATAGATATTTTAGAAATGTTTTACAAAGATGTTGTTAAGTTTGTGAAATCGTGCGGTTAAAAGAAAACAATGGCTTAAATTTCGAAAAACGTTTAGAGAAAGAACGCCGCATTGACTTAAATATAAAAAAAGTGACATAAAACTTTTAGAATTGTGTATGTGTATATATGTATTTATATTTTTGTGACATTATATTATTTATTATTATTTTAATTTAAAATTAGATGAAGTTTTTCTTAAATTACTTAAAATTAACAGGGGAAGCAATATCTGGACAGTTCAAAATTTGCATGCGATTTTCTGTTTCCAAGAACGATGCACCATCCGGTATTAAGTAGAAGAAAAATAAATAAATTATACCAAATTTATGGTATTTATTGTTACATGTCACCCGGTATGTAAAATATAATATTTTTTAGGTTGCAATTAACAATGAAACCCTTTACGAATTCGCGCACAGGGTCCCTTTGGCTCAAACGGACCATCTTCATGTACATGCCAATTGTATAGTGGATTCAGTGATTTTTAAATATACGGAAACCGTTGGTAAGTACGCCAAAAAAACAACAATCTTCAAACAACCAACGAAAAATCACAAACCATGAAGTTTACAAGTAAATTTATTTAATTCAGTTATCCCAATAAAAAATACACTGTTTTAAAATGCCACTGAGTTAGAATCCGAACGTAAGCCAGACAACAAAGAACGACATAAATCACATTTATTAGTAGATAATTCTACAACGATTTGTTTTTCAGATACACGCATCCTCAACACCACTACAGAATATTCCTACTCTAATGCCTGAAAATATAAAATTACAAAATAAATATATTTTTATTATTCAATCTAATGTATTCATAAACTAAAAATTTGCAAAATAAATAGTACATTCAATACCGACTATATATATAGTTTTATTAAAACCAACTATTAAAGTGTGGTATATCATTGTACTCAGGAGACCGAGTACTTTCAAAACATAAAATAAAAATACAGGTCCGTATTTAAAAAAATTAAGTTGGACTCTGTATCTTACAAATTATCAGCTAATTTGAAAATATAAAAATACTATCAGATAACCTTAATAAAGTGGCTAAGAGAATGTCTACAACCCAAGGCGCAACTTTACCCCAATTTAGCCATGTTCGTATCTAATACGGTTACTCAAGCATTGGTTGCTGGTACCTCGAATTTGTAGCACCCTGAACAGCTGTAAATATGTCCAATAATATTAGTAATAAACAAATCATTGTTGTACTCATTGCTACACCCTTCAACCATCCTCAAGTTGAATATTAATGTCTGGTCAGAGCCACATCGCTCGCCAGACATATTCAGTTAATTTTTTTTAAACTTAACTCTGGACAAATGGGCATTAATGACCTGCGGGCTAGTGCTGTAAAAATATGAACAAAATTATACCCACGTCTCAAAAAATTTCGCCATATCTGTAATAGATCATAATACAACTGTAATATTGCAACTGTAATTCAAACATGATGGTTTCAATAGAGTTGCCAATTTTCAAAATAAAAAATAGAGGACAAGAGGGTAAAAAAAAGCCACAGGCGAAACCTTTTTTGAAACCTCGCCCAAATGTCTAAAATTTTTCAATGAATTATGTAAACGGTATGCGATTGATAGTCTTTCTTACTTTCTCAAAAAAATTATACTCTAAATTTGTTAAAATAAAAAAAAACCTATTTTAACAAAACTTTTTTTTTCAAAACATAAACCAACAGTAAGTAAACATAAAATAGTTAAACATGTTTATCGCTTCCACAAATACTTCTTGTACATACATAAATATTTCTTCATTTTCTTTTCTATACAAACGGGTGGGAGTAGCAAGTTTGGTAGGTATGACAACTAAGACTTTTTCAATACGCGAGAGAAAAGAGGACTATCCTCTGGAATAGAAGACGATTGGAAACCCTAGGTTGCAAAATTACAAAGGATCAAAGTTATTGCATAAATATTTATTTCCCATGTCGTTTTCATATTTCCAGACATCCGCAACATAAATATCGATATTAAAATATGCCCAATTCAAATCCGACCTCCGCTGATTTATTCGGCAAAATGCGGGGAAGCCCGCGCGCGTTCAATTTTAATCGTAATCGCGTAAAGCTTAGCCGCGTCGCGCCACAAATTAACAAAAGAAAATTATAGTGATTAATTGACGGGCCGCGGCGCGCATAAACGTATCGCTTGTTATGCAACCGCATATACACACGCGGCCCGTTCGGAATTACCAATCGGTCTTTCTTTTTAATTGGGCGCGTTCGTCCATATAAAATCGCCAATAATTCGTTTTGATTTTCTATGCGCGAGGTTAATTTATGGAACGGGTGCGTTTCCGATGCCACGAACTCAGTAGCGGCACCAAAAGGATGGCTTTCTTATCCGATAGTCTAGCAGCTTTAAGAAAACATATTTTCCTTTATAAAGCAATTTTTAATAATGTCAATTATAAACTTGTGTATAGTGCTAATAATAAATTATAGCAATTATTAGGTAATCCAAAGGATAAAACACCTCCACTGGAAAGGTTGGGTATTTATGAAATTTCTTGTAAAGATTGTAATCAGAAATATGTTGGGCAAACTAGAAGATCAATATTAACTAGATTTAAAGAACATTTAGCTCAGTTCAATATGGTAGACCGGATAAATCTTGCGTGGCTGAACACATTGTTGATAAAGAACATTGTATAGATCTTAATAATTTAAAATTAATTAAACAAGTCTCAAATTACAGACAATTAGATGCATATGAAAGCATCAGAATTAATAAATGTAAAGATATTATGAACAGAGACAACGGCCCAATTTCTTCAAGTTTTTTGTTCCTACTACTCTATTGACGGAAATCTAACTGTAACGCTCGGTGGGCTCTGACTGGGTTGGCTAGATCTTGCCACGCCTACTCGGTGCCCACTGAGCGAGTATATAAACGCTCAAATTGTAGATTGTAGTATAGTTTAATCATTTGCTGATGATGCTAACATGGTAAATAACCAGGTAAATTTACATGGTAACAATAATAAACTATTTTACATTATTAGAAAATAGGTTCTTTAAGCAAAAACCTGATCTACAAATTGTTTCGTTCGACGATGTTTAAACCGCCAATATTTTATATTAAATTTTCCCACTACATTTCGGGCAAGATGCCCCATGATTTATTTTACCCGATTTATATTCTTATTCGTAGTTTTTCTTTTTATTTTGACTGTTCAATTTAATTAATTATTTTTTCTATTAAATTTATCTAAAATTGCGCATTATCGGCTTTTAATTTACTTGCAGAGGGTTTATAAATATAAAAGAAGAACGGATCAGGGAAACAAAGGGCCTTCTTCTTTCCAAGGAGAACATAACAAATAATCAAAAGATAAAAATACTATATACCCATATTATCCCAAAATGTGAAAAACGAAATCAAGAAAAAACAAAAGAGAGACGCAGAAATCGCAGATTCTAACAGACACTCCATTAAACGACGAAATTCGTGCTAAAATTAACAATATTGGATTAACGAAAACTGATAACTCTAATACTGTTAATTTTTGATATCTCTCCATATTTAATTTTCCCTCTTGTTTAATAAGAAAAACCCAAAAACTAGATTTTTTTACCCGATGTAGTAGGACGAAAAGGATCATATGCAAACTGTCATTAAATCCTATCTCTGTTGCAGAAACGCATATTTTATGGCAACCAATGTAGAATATATTAGATATTCAATGTCTAATCTTCTTAAATTTAATTAGATAAGTGTTATTGTAAACCAACTTTTTTATAAAATTGAATTACACACATTAGTTGATTAAAGCTGCCCGACTCTACCCACTAAGTAAGAAGAATCTTTAGATTGTCCCGGGGTTTTTATTAGGACGCTGTCTCCCCAATAAACACCTCAGTAGATCGAAGCTAAGAAACAACGGCGAATGCAGATTCTGTGGGAGAAATGGGGAAACACCGAGTGCGCCCAGAGACGACAACCATTCAAACTTTGGTACGACTGATATCAGAGATGGAGAACTAACCTCTGTAAACGTCCTGTGAAAAATACAAAACTTTTATCATTTTCGCGAAATATACTGATAGACATGCTCATGGAATCGAAACATACCACTGCCCAAAATGTTTGCACTCATTTAACATTCCCCCTATAGGAAAGGAGTATCCACAAGCTTACAATACAATCGTAAGTTTGGATATTTAATAACATCACAGGAACGTTACTGTTGAGACGTTACAGAAAGTACAACTTCAAGAAGTACAGCTTCAAGAAGTTTGTTCAATGTTTTTGATAAGAAAATAGTTTTAGAAAGATTCGTACAATATTATAAAATGTTGTTTTATATTGAAATATTTGAATTAAAATAGTCAATCTTTTTTGACTATTTTCTCCCAATCTTCAAATAATACCATCGCTGCCACTGGCCAGCTTCCACATTGGCTCAATCAGTTTTTTTTTGAAGGATCGCGATTAATATGATGAACGACTAGCCGACAATATCATTTTGTTCTGCGATTTGAAATAAAAATGTAATGTAATAAAACGATGTCACACATAAAGTGCACACTAAATGGGAATTTATATCGTCGATTGTTTTTGGTTTTGTACTTTTATTGCTTAAAAAATCGTGTTAATTTATACTGCTTGTTAAAATGTCCTTTCTTTTTAAGCATCATATTTGACATTTGTGAATGTAGCTTAAAAAAGTATGGCCAACCCAAAATCCTTCTGCGGCATTGCAAAAGCAGTAACGAGAATGGCCACAAAATGATGGGTGACCAACAAATCTCTAGTATGGTGGAGACATTGTACTACTACTACTGTCATTACTGGCTGACGGGTATTCGACACGCATCAGAAGATGGTCACGAAAGGCGTTTTCTTTCATAAGCGTTTCTGTGACTGAAAAGCCCGATACGTGATGTTATTTACCTACCGCACTCCGGACATTCAAAAATATCATTGCTTTGTTGCCTCTGTACTTTTAGGTTGTCGATTAACTGAGTTTACAATTCTTCTCCATTGAGTTCTATTGTGAACTGCTTCTTCCCACTCATTCTGCATGTTAATCCCCTTTAAATTTTCGAGGATAAATGTTCTTGTATCTTTTGACTTGTCCACCCGGCCTCCTCTTACCGTCTACAAGCTCACCGTAAAGCAGAGATTTTTGTATGCGGTTTCCTTGCATTCTGCATACGTGACCAGCCCATCTTAAGCGGGATTTTGTAACCATGACTCCAATACTCCCGCAGTTAGCTTTTTCAAGGACCGATACGTTTGAGACATGATGGAACCACCGGATTCTTAAGAGTTGTCTAAGGTGTCTCTGTGGAAACTTGTTTAATGCGTTTATGTGTCGGCCGGCGGTACGGCATCGGCACCCAGGTTTCGCTCCAATATATCATGGTGGGGATTATAATTGCTCGGTACACTGCAAGTTTCGTTTTTGTGAAGTTATGATTGTAGAAAACCCTGTCTTTTAATTTCCAGAATGCTCTTGAGGCGCTGCTAATCCTGCGTTGAATTTCAGAGTCGATATTGGCCTTTAAGGAGAGATTTACCAGAGCAGAGACAACCGAAAAAGTTCATAGCAGAAAATTAGCCAAAATTCACGGCAGAGATAAACAAAGACAGAAAAACATTCAAAGCTGTAGTCGGTCTATAAAAGAGGCACCTAAAGTCAGTGACGTAAGTTCTGGCTGATGATCAAAGGTGTTAGATGGAACAAGTGGAGGGCCTGCTTAGTAGAGGGCTTGCGAGGGGCCAATTGCATGCCTTACAAATTCAGATGGAACGATTTATGTACCGAACATAGAAACTACAATCAAAAAGTAGAGATTTTAAAACTACACACATAAGCCAAATCGAGTAGTATA